CGGGAGGTGTCGAGTCACCCTCGGCGCCGCCTACTTTCCCGAACGGGGTTTCCCCTTGGTGGCGCAATGTGCGGCATCGTGGATGGTGCTATTGCACCAAAGGCAGTAACGGTACTTGAGTCTCGTGCGATAAGAATTCGCCGAGAGTCCGTATTGTGCCCAAGGTACGTCAGCCGCTGATCCGGTGCTCGGTGTAGAGGTGGATTGAGTCTTCGTCTTGTCGCGGCCGTGGTTGTTGCGCGGCCAGCCACCATCCCGGGCAGCTGCCAACACTTCACCCTCGTTTGGTGTTGCAGCCTCGGTAGAAGTAATGCAAGCCAACTTTGGCTTGGGCTGGGTGCCGCTCGTCGTCGCGGAAGATCGGTCGGCGTTGCGGGCTTCACGAAGCGTTGCGGGCTTCGAAATTCGTGAGAATGATCCGTGACGCTGTGCTAAAAAGCTTGTCAGATGTGTCGAGTGTCTCTGCAATCTGCGTCAGCGCGTTTTGCAGAGCTGGACATGAGCGCATGATAAACAAGTGCTTGATGGCGCGGAATGCGAGCGGCAGGTCAGTTGTGGAGGCGAGTCTTTGGAACTCGGTAATCCAGTCCTGACTGAGCAGCGTGTTCTGATGGAGCTTGTTGAGCTTGTCCATCGCTTGCAGGTCGGACGGCTCCACTTGGAATCGCTTGTGCTAGGCGTCAGTCAACTCCTGCCAAGTGAGCTTGGTGTGCAGTTCCGACACTGCTACGCCGTGGCTGGTCAAGATGTTGTCCAACCATGCTTGACATGCACCACCAGATCGGTGGTACAAGCGCGGATGTCGATCGTTGTTCGGGACATGGTGCATGTCGAGCCTGAGAGTAAACTGGCGCCACCATGGGATTGGTTCCGTCTTGGACTGATCGCAGAAAACTGAAATGTCATCCTGTTTGGGTGGGCGCCGGGAGGATGCGGCGGCGGGTGTCACGGTGGCAGCAGCCTGGACCTGCGTCTCCAACTGCAAGTTCGATGCTTTCTGCGACGTCCTGAAGTCCTGATGCACATGCTTAATGTTGCTAACGTCATCCTCCAAAACTTGAACACGGGTGGCAAGGTTTGAAGGCCCTGCGGCGGCTGCGGCGACTGGCTGTTTCTCGAACGCCTGCAGCCGTACAAGCATCTGGTCCACTGTCTGCTGCAGGCGAAGAATTTCCTCCAGCTGCAGAGCGCAGGTGGCCACGAGGTCGTGGGAGATCTGCGCAACGGCTGACAGCCCTTTGTTAGTCTCCGAGGCCTCGTCCGCAGCTGCCATCTCCACCCATTGTGCGGTTTCATCACCGATCGCGGTCTCCCGTGTGAACAGTCGTTCGCGTTGGCGGGACCGGTGTTCAACTGCAGCCTGCAGGTCTGCCTCCTCTTGACGAAGTCGGTCCTGTTCCTCCTGCTGTCGCTTGGTCTCCTCCTCTTTCTCAATCCGGTTCCGTTCCTTGGCC